TCCAACTGATGGATGGGCTTTGAGGGCAGAGGACATCGGTACCAAATGGCTGAATGTGGGGGGGGGGGGGGAGGCCTGGACGAACCGGGAAGCCGGGGGCGGGGCCTGCCCAGCCCCTTTGGCAGACGGCTGGGGGCAGGGAGCAGGCATGCTGCCCATGTTGGCTGTTGGGGGGGGTTGATGCGTTCTGGTGGAGGCAGTGGGGTGGGTGGGCTCCATGTCCCGCGCCTGGAGGCACGCTCAGGGGGTCTACGGCCCCCACGGCAGGGAATGCCATCGCAGTGGGGAAAGCTGCCCGTGCTGTAGGCGTGCTGCTGCTTCCTGCTGGTGGCTGTGGCTTGGCCTGACCCAGGGGCGTAGCAATGGTGTGCTGGGGGCTTCAGCTCCCCAACCCAATCTTCTCCCATCAAACAGAGAACCTCTACAGTGCTCCACTGTGGTGTGATGCTCCCGAAGGGACTGGGCAGCAGCTCCTTTCCACCCGACCTTTTCCTTCACCTCCTGCCCCTGTGCCTCCAAAGAGCGTTCAGATGCTATTCAGATGCATTCCGTTATGCAACTAGCTCATAACTATGCAAATGTATGCAGATCTCTCCTTACACAACGTCCTGTTTTCATTCAGCTTCTTTTTTGGAAATCCAGCACTTCCTATGGGAGCGCAGTCAGAGCCCAGAGAAGCCATCTGGAGCCTCCTGGCTTGCCGAATGGGCTGGGGCAGGGAATGGCACCGGCTCCTTTCGGAGCTCCTGTCACCATCCTCTGACAGCCAGCACCTTACCGGTCCCATGGCCCTGCCAGAACCCGTGGCACAGACTGGTGCCGTTAGCAGGGGGGTCTGTGAGGTCCATCCAGCCCCAATGCCAGCCAAGGGCACTGTGTGTGCGGTGAGCTGCATGAGAGCACAGCAGCAGAATGCGGCAGGTCGGTATCTGCTCTCCAGCTCAAGTTGTGGCTCCTGGCACATAGCTCTGCCTTGTAGCTCTGCAGGAATCCTCGGTGGCTTTTCCTCCATGGCTTGGTCTGACAGCTTTTTGAACCAATGCAAACTTCTGGCCTTCATCCTCCTGCAGGGAGCCCTCAGCTCCACTGCCCAGAAAATACTTCCATCAACCCAATGTTTTCTGCCATACCCCTGGTCCTTGTGTTGAACACGTGACCTCAACGCCACTGCATCCTCCCTCTCTTGGTCACCTCTTCCAGACTGTGTCCTCCACCTCCTGGTTGCCTCTTCCAGCATGTGGAGCGCGCTCCATCCTTCCCCGTGCTTCGTCATTCTTGTCCTTGTCTGATCTCTCATGACGTGGGACAATAAGATGTGACAATGAACCCTTCAGGAGGTGCTGTTCTGTTCTCTGCTCCTTTCCCGGTAATTCACAGCAGCTCCGTTCCCTCTGGAGCAGCGTGGCTCAACCTGAAGCGCCCACGCTGCTGCACATCTCTATTCGTTGGTCTGTTTGCTAGCGAGCTCCCGCTTGTGCAGGGGCTCTCCTGGTGCTCAGACTGAGGTGCTGTAACTCTTAGGTATCTGCCAGCACCTCTCTGTGCCTCCCCAGCAGGGATGGGTGCCCATGGGCCGTGTCCCCGGGCTGCAGGCTGCATGCGGCACGCAGGGCTTGCACTGCCGTCCCCATGTGGTGCATGAAGGTGTGTGGGATGGGGCTGTTCAGCCAGTCAGCCCCAGGGATTGCCTGTGGGCTTCTCCCAGCACCTTCACATGGCTGCAGAGCTCTGGAACAGGGCACTGAGTGACACAGAGCTCTCACCATGTCTGTGTGGATGTGACATTGAGTGTCACCCTGCTGCTGCCTCCGATGGCACAGCGGGTTCGGCTGGGCCTCGGTGGGGCCAATCCTTCAGCTGGGCTTCAATAAGGCCAATCCCTCCTCTGGGCCTCAGTGGGGCCAATCCTTCAGCTGGGCTTCAATAAGGCCAATCCCTCCTCTGGGCCTCAGTGGGGCCAATCCTTTTTCTGGGCCTCAGTGGAGCCAATCCCTCCTCTGGGCCTCAGTGTGGCCAATCTTTTCTCTGGGCCTCAGTGGGGCCAATCCCTCCTCAGGGCCTCAGTAGGGCCAATCCCTCCTTTAGGCCTCAGTGGGGCCAATCCCTCCTCTAGGCCTCAGTGGGGCCAATCCTTTTTCTGGGCCTCAGTGGGGCCAATCCCTCCTCTGGGCCTCAGTCGGGCCAGTCCTTCCTCTAGGCCTCAGTGGGGCCAATCTCTCAGCTGGTCCTCAGTGGGGCCAATCCCTCCTCTGGGCCTCAGTGGGGCCAATCCTTTCTCTGGGCCTCAGTGGAGCCAATTCCTCCTCTGGGCCTCAGTGGGGCCAATCCTTTCTCTGGGCCTCAGTGGAGCCAATCCCTCCTCTGGGCCTCAGTGGGGCCAATCCTTTCTCTGGGCCTCAGTGGAGCCAATTCCTCCTCTGGGCCTCAGTGGGGCCAATCTCTCAGCTGGGCCTCAGTGGGGCCAATCCCTCCTTTAGGCCTCAGTGGCCTCTGTTGGGCCTCGGTGGGGCAAATCCCTCAACTGGGACATGCAATGTGTTCCGCTTTGCCTCTCTGTGCTCCCTGCAGGTGCCAGCCGTGTCATAGGCACTGTGCCTGCCGGATGGCTGAACCTGCCAGCTGGACTTGCTGGCAGCTCCTGCAGTTCCTGGTGTCAGTGCAGGCTTCACCAAGGATGCCCTGAGCAGGGAACCATGGGGACCCACTGGGTGGCAGTGAGACCCCATGGGCCAAGACCTGGGTGCCCCAGTCAGGGCTGGGACACTGGAGGCTGCAGGGACCCACGCTGCAGGGACTGTCATCCGTGGGAACGGGGCGTCCTTTGGGATGAGGGCAGCCCATCCTGGGGCCTGCATGGGTTCGGCTGCTGAGCACTGCGGGCCCAGCCTGTGTCTGCTGTCGCTGGGAGGAGCAGCACGCCCTGGGGTGAGGCTGATGGCAGCCATGCCCGGAACAGCCTGGCTTTGCAGAGGGGCTGACACGGCCGAGTTGGGAGGACACGGAGAGCAGCTCTGGCCCAGCACGGGGCATTGGGCAGCTGCAGGTCTGAGGGTCTGGCTCCAGCCCAGCCAGCTGAGGCCCGGCTGTGTGGGGCTGAGTGCCAGCTGGGTCCCTGCTGTGGGGCTGGCAGAGGACTAGGATGAGTTTCTGGTGGAGGGCCTGGTCCTGCTGAGGGTCTCACTGAGGGGCTGACTGAAGGGCTGACCTCATCCTGACCCAGCTGGGGGGCTGGGTGAGGGGCTGGGTGAGGCCCCTGATGAGGGCTTACCCTGCTGAGGCCTCATTGAGGCCCCCACTGTGGGCCTGGCTGTGGCCTGGCTGCGGCCCAGCTGAGGATTGGCCCCAATGACACCCAGGTGAAAGACTGGCCCCACTGAGGCCCAGCTGAGGGATTGGCTCCACTGAAGCCCAGAGAAAGAATTGGCCCCACTGAGGCCTAAAGGAGGGATTGGCCCCACTGAGGCCTAGAGAAAGGATTGGACACACTGAGGCCCAGAGGAGGGATTGGACCCACTGAGGCCCAGCTGAAAGATTGGCCCCACTGAGGCCCAGAGGAGGAATTGGCCCCAGTGAAGCCCAGAGAAAGAATTGGCCCCACTGAGGCCCAGAGGAAGGACTGGCCGCACTGAGGCCCAGCTGAGAGATTGGCCCCACTGAGGCCTAGAGGAAGGACTGGCCCCACTGAGGCCCAGCTGAGGGATTGACTCCACTGAAGCCCAGAGAAAGGATTGGCCCCACTGAGGCCCAGAGGAGGGATTGGCCCCACTGAGGCCTAGAGGAGGGATTGGCCCCACTGAGGCCCAGAGGAAGGACTGGCCCTACTGAGGCCTAGAGGTGGGATTGGCCCCACCGAGGCCCAGCCGAACCCGCTGTGCCATTGGAGGCAGCAGCAGGGTGACACTCAATGTCACATCCACACAGACATGGTGAGAGCTCTGTGTCACTCAGTGCCCTGCTACATGGACGTGGACACACAGCCACAGACACCTGTGATGGTGAAAGGCACGCGCACAGCCTGCATGCGGTGCCGGTGCCCATGCTCTGGGGTCTGTGTGGCACACACACACGGCTGCTGGTTGCAGCGCTGGGCAGTGTGGGATGCTCCCACATGCGTGCTTCCCCTCCCCGATGCCCTGGCACTTGTAGCCCTGCCTGGCGGCATCCTCAGGCTCAGGGGAGACCTCCCTGTTCTCTACACCCCCGTGAGAGGAGGTCTGAGTCAGGTGGGGATTGGCCTTTGCTCTCAGTGAACAGCGATAGGATGAGAGACGATGGCCTCACGTTGCTTCAGGTGAGGTTCAGGTTGGGTGTTAAGGAACATTTCTTCTCTGAAAGACTGGTGATGCACCAGCACAGGCTGCCCAGGGAAGTGGAGGTGTTACCATCCCTTGGAGATGTGGCACTGAGGGAGGTGGTTGGTGGGATGGGTTGGGGTTGGACGTGGGGATCTTGGAGATATTTTCCACTGTTAATGGTTCTATAATTCTAAGAAGGGGATAGGATCTTTAGCAAGGTGTGTTGTGACAGGACAAGAGCCACGTGTGCTACCTAAACCACTCTCCCCTCAGCCAGACCTCAGCCATCCTGGCCAGAGGTGGTCTGTCCCTCTGCACTCTTCTATGGCTCATAGTTGTGCTGCCCACAGCTCCTGCTTCGGGGTCTCTGCCCGCTCCCACTGGTGGTGATCTCTGACTCATCTGCTATGGGTGCCAGACACACATTTCCCTGTCTTTTGTCAGTGCCTGTGTGGGTCCACAGGCACAAGCCTCCCCACGCCCTCCCCAGAACCCCCCAGCAATGCTTCACTGGGAAAAAAAAATCTCAGGGAAGCAGCAGTTGTGACAGGAAGGAATTTAACCAGGCAGCAGCATCATTCCACCGCTTCCACACCACTGCTTCCTGCCCCATCATTGTGCTAGGTGGAGAGCCAGCGCTCACCAGCCCCCCGGTGGTGTTTTCCCCATGAGGCAGAGCTCGCTCCTCCTCTGGGGCGGGTGGTGCTAGAGGCCCTGGTGCTGCCTCTTCTTTCCCTGTGTGCCTGTGACAACGGTGGTGGTGATGGTGATCTTGTTCACAGTCAGCCCTCCCGTGCCGTAAATGTCGAGGCACGCTTCTCGTTTGTACTCGGAGACCTGCTTGGTGGAGAGGAGCTCCCACACCGACACCCTCTGCTCCTGGAACTGCCCGAAGGTAATGTAAGAGCCTTCAGACTGAAGGAGATCCACTGTCTGCTGGGGAAGGGCTGCGAGATGTCTTTCTTTGCTGTGTGTCACGGCACTGCTGATAGCTCTGACGAGTTGCTCAGTGGTGAGAGTCCCGTCACGGTACAGCTCCAGGAGCTCCTGCCTTTTGTCCTCAGGGAGGCAGTC